AAAAAATCGATTTTGATGTGTTCTAAAAGTGTTTCAAAAACATCAAGAAGTACATAAAGCTTGTTGTTGTATGTCAAAATTGTATTAATCGTTTGGAAATATCTTAAGATTGTTTCAAAAAAGTTATAACCATTAATGGGGTTATAACAAAAAAATGTGATTGGCTTGAATGAGGTAAAAAAAATTGTTTTGTTAAATTTTAAAGTGTAACGAGCGAACTATTGGTAATACTTCTAAGTTTTAAAGTTTTTAGTTTTAAATTTTAGAATGTTGGAAGAACTTATCATTTAATTTGTATATTTATTGATTTCTTTCTCTTTTATCGTTTGTAATTTAGCAAAGTCTTTCACGCTTTCTAAAAAATATATCACACACGTTACTGTGACAAACCTTCAAGTTCTTTCGTGCAAAATCAGAATGAAACTGATTGGACTGGAAAGCACGTGGCGTAACCGCGATGTCTCCTTTTTATTCTCAACCTTTTTTATCTTTGGACATTTAAATTACTTCCTGTATAAATTTATTTTACAAAACAGCTTAAACGTTATCTTTAAAAATAAGAAAGAAAGTTAATTTTACCTTCATTTTTGTTTCAAGTTTAATAAATTTCAATGTCTAGGACGCGAAGGCACTACAAAAAACACTTAGGCAGTTAGAACGAAACCAAGCCTCGCGAAGAACTACTAAAATTCACTCTCACTTCTTCTTCGCGGACTTCAAACTGAGCGAAACTTCCAAATTGACCCACTTCTTATATTGATATCCGACTATCTCAGATTCCCACTTCTTCACCCTACCATTTTTTTGTTGTTGTTTTTATTCTTACAACTTACAATATTATTTCTAAATTATTATTTATAATTTTTTTGATATTAAATTAACTAATAAGTGAAAGTAAAAGAAAAATAAAAGAAAATAATGATTGGTTTATATGGAATGTGTCGTGCATATAAGAAACTTCCTGAATCTTTTGTTAAACCCATCGTGCTATAATTAAAGTTGTTATGAAAGTTTTTGGATTTATTTGAAAAGAAATGTCTTTTTTAAAGTAGCACCGTGAAAGTATCCGATTTTAAAAGTTATGTAAATTAAAAAATATTAATTAAGGCTCATTTTAAATAATATTGGGAAATTAGGAATTTTATTATGACAATATATTAAAAGAGAAACTTTTGAGGATATCTTTGCTTCTAAAATATTAACAATAAGTGTAACAAATTTTCTTTTTGATGTGCACTTCTTGTTCCAAAGAAAATTTACCATAACATGTGTCCAAAGCGATATTAATTACATGTTACATAAAGTCCTTTTTAAGCTTGTATTATATAAACCTTAATTTTTAAACATTTTTGTGTTCTCAAAAAAGATTAAATTAAATGAAATCTGATACAATCTTAAGACGCATCACAATATTTACAATTTCCCATTAATTTAAAGACCTTCACGTGTAAATGCCAACCTTGATCGTGAAAATTTCACCAACACCATCGACCTTAAACAGAAGAGAAGAGAAAAGAAAATCCGTAACCTCTTCGTGTATGTTTTCAAACACGGAGGATCCACATCGTTTATCGACTTTTCTTTTCATGCTGATTTATAACCCTTTTAGTTCTTCCATATCCAACATCAAGAGAAAGTTCTTGAGCTACCAATGCAAATTTTATTTGAGAAGTTACTTATCGTATTTAAAATTCTATTTATCTAAATGACGGGTATAATATACAAATATTATTGTTAATTCAAAAGAAAATTTCAAAAAGAAACTCCAATATTTAACAGGAAGTGGTTAAAACCGCAAAAATTTTAACAACTATATTAACTCACCCAAAAAAAAAAATTCAGTGATTTTCACCGTCTCACAATGAATAACCACTTAATTCTCATTTTCTCATTAACTTTTATTACAATGGTAAGACCAAAAACAACTAATTATAACCAATTAAAATCTGCAACTTTTAGATTTATACGGAGATGTTCGAATATGACTCTTTAAAGCGTTACACTCGAGAGATAAAACAAGAAAATTGTATGTTACATCTCTGTAATGAAACCAATTACCCTCTGAAGGCAATTACTAAATTGTTGAAGCAAAAGAAAAACATAAAGTTTTTGGAAAACTTCAACGATCAACTTTTTGAACCCTACAAACCACCCAATCCTTTTAAATTTGGGTTGATTTGGAATAATTTATGTGAAGTACGTCAAGTGACGATGTATCCAAGAATCGGAAAAGATATTCAAAACAACATGAAAGTGATAATTAACGTTCAAAAACATCGCCAAGGAATTATTGTCGAAACATGCATGTAAGTTATATTTAAGGTGTTTCTTATTAAATAATTATTGTTTTTTTTGTTACTTAGTGATAATAAAAAGCAATGTATTGAAAAGGAATTTCTTCCTATTGGGCTTACAACGAGGTGTAACCAACAATATATTAAGGTCCGATTGATTACTTTATCCTCAAGTGGAACGTTGGGGCAAGATTATTTCGCAATTCCATCTGGGTGTATTTGTGACAAAAGATCTCACCAATAATTCAAAATAAATCATAATTTTTTCCTTCATAAATGTAAGATTGGTTGCATAATTTGGATAATAAACTCATAATTTTTATGATTAACATCACAACTATTTTATAACATAGAATATGCTATTTTATTGTGTAATATATGTATTTTAATTCTATATATTTAGTATTTAACAAATATGTTGTATAAAGCCGGTTAATAAAAGTTGTGCAANAACGACGAAAAAGACCTTTAGAATGCTTAAAGTGGATGAAATTATTAAAAAAATCGATTTTGATGTGTTCTAAAAGTGTTTCAAAAACATCAAGAAGTACATAAAGCTTGTTGTTGTATGTCAAAATTGTATTAATCGTTTGGAAATATCTTAAGATTGTTTCAAAAAAGTTATAACCATTAATGGGGTTATAACAAAAAAATGTGATTGGCTTGAATGAGGTAAAAAAAATTGTTTTGTTAAATTTTAAAGTGTAACGAGCGAACTATTGGTAATACTTCTAAGTTTTAAAGTTTTTAGTTTTAAATTTTAGAATGTTGGAAGAACTTATCATTTAATTTGTATATTTATTGATTTCTTTCTCTTTTATCGTTTGTAATTTAGCAAAGTCTTTCACGCTTTCTAAAAAATATATCACACACGTTACTGTGACAAACCTTCAAGTTCTTTCGTGCAAAATCAGAATGAAACTGATTGGACTGGAAAGCACGTGGCGTAACCGCGATGTCTCCTTTTTATTCTCAACCTTTTTTATCTTTGGACATTTAAATTACTTCCTGTATAAATTTATTTTACAAAACAGCTTAAACGTTATCTTTAAAAATAAGAAAGAAAGTTAATTTTACCTTCATTTTTGTTTCAAGTTTAATAAATTTCAATGTCTAGGACGCGAAGGCACTACAAAAAACACTTAGGCAGTTAGAACGAAACCAAGCCTCGCGAAGAACTACTAAAATTCACTCTCACTTCTTCTTCGCGGACTTCAAACTGAGCGAAACTTCCAAATTGACCCACTTCTTATATTGATATCCGACTATCTCAGATTCCCACTTCTTCACCCTACCATTTTTTTGTTGTTGTTTTTATTCTTACAACTTACAATATTATTTCTAAATTATTATTTATAATTTTTTTGATATTAAATTAACTAATAAGTGAAAGTAAAAGAAAAATAAAAGAAAATAATGATTGGTTTATATGGAATGTGTCGTGCATATAAGAAACTTCCTGAATCTTTTGTTAAACCCATCGTGCTATAATTAAAGTTGTTATGAAAGTTTTTGGATTTATTTGAAAAGAAATGTCTTTTTTAAAGTAGCACCGTGAAAGTATCCGATTTTAAAAGTTATGTAAATTAAAAAATATTAATTAAGGCTCATTTTAAATAATATTGGGAAATTAGGAATTTTATTATGACAATATATTAAAAGAGAAACTTTTGAGGATATCTTTGCTTCTAAAATATTAACAATAAGTGTAACAAATTTTCTTTTTGATGTGCACTTCTTGTTCCAAAGAAAATTTACCATAACATGTGTCCAAAGCGATATTAATTACATGTTACATAAAGTCCTTTTTAAGCTTGTATTATATAAACCTTAATTTTTAAACATTTTTGTGTTCTCAAAAAAGATTAAATTAAATGAAATCTGATACAATCTTAAGACGCATCACAATATTTACAATTTCCCATTAATTTAAAGACCTTCACGTGTAAATGCCAACCTTGATCGTGAAAATTTCACCAACACCATCGACCTTAAACAGAAGAGAAGAGAAAAGAAAATCCGTAACCTCTTCGTGTATGTTTTCAAACACGGAGGATCCACATCGTTTATCGACTTTTCTTTTCATGCTGATTTATAACCCTTTTAGTTCTTCCATATCCAACATCAAGAGAAAGTTCTTGAGCTACCAATGCAAATTTTATTTGAGAAGTTACTTATCGTATTTAAAATTCTATTTATCTAAATGACGGGTATAATATACAAATATTATTGTTAATTCAAAAGAAAATTTCAAAAAGAAACTCCAATATTTAACAGGAAGTGGTTAAAACCGCAAAAATTTTAACAACTATATTAACTCACCCAAAAAAAAAATTCAGTGATTTTCACCGTCTCACAATGAATAACCACTTAATTCTCATTTTCTCATTAACTTTTATTACAACGGTAAGACCAAAAACAACTAATTATAACCAATTAAAATCTGCAACTTTTAGATTTATACGGAGATGTTCGAATATGACTCTTTAAAGCGTTACACTCGAGAGATAAAACAAGAAAATTGTATGTTACATCTCTGTAATGAAACCAATTACCCTCTGAAGGCAATTACTAAATTGTTGAAGCAAAAGAAAAACATAAAGTTTTTGGAAAACTTCAACGATCAACTTTTTGAACCCTACAAACCACCCAATCCTTTTAAATTTGGGTTGATTTGGAATAATTTATGTGAAGTACGTCAAGTGACGATGTATCCAAGAATCGGAAAAGATATTCAAAACAACATGAAAGTGATAATTAACGTTCAAAAACATCGCCAAGGAATTATTGTCGAAACATGCATGTAAGTTATATTTAAGGTGTTTCTTATTAAATAATTATTGTTTTTTTTGTTACTTAGTGATAATAAAAAGCAATGTATTGAAAAGGAATTTCTTCCTATTGGGCTTACAACGAGGTGTAACCAACAATATATTAAGGTCCGATTGATTACTTTATCCTCAAGTGGAACGTTGGGGCAAGATTATTTCGCAATTCCATCTGGGTGTATTTGTGACAAAAGATCTCACCAATAATTCAAAATCAATCATAATTTTTTCCTTCATAAATGTAAGATTGGTTGCATAATTTGTATGATAAACTGATAATTTTTATGATTAATATCACAACTATTTTATAACATAGAATATGCTATTTTATTGTGTAATATATGTATTTTAATTCTATATATTTAGTATTTAACAAATATGTTGTATAAAGCCGGGATAATAGGCTTGTATAAAAGTTGTGCAATTTGGGTTGCCTAACTACTATATTAAAAATAAAATTTTAAAGTTTAATATAAAGAAGATATGATTAACATCACAACTATTTTATATTTTGTAATGTAATATATATTATGTATTTTGTTTTTATTAAATATGTTGTATAAAGCCTGTATAATAGGCTTGTATAAAAGTTGTGCAATTTGGGTTGCATAATTACGATATTAAAAATAAAATTTTAAAGTTTAATATAAAGAAGATATGATTAATATTACAACTATTTTATAACATAAAATGAATTATTTTGTAATGTAATATATATTATGTAAATATGTTGTATAAAACCTGTATAATAGGCCTGTATAAAAGTTGTGCAATTTGGGCTGCATAACTACAATAATAAAAATAAAATTTTAAAGTTTAGTATAAAGGAGATATGATTAATATCACAACTATTTTATAACATAGAATATGTTATTTTGTTGTGTAATATATGTATTTTAATTCTATATATTTAGTATTTAACAAATATGTTGTATAAAGCCGGGATAATAGGCTTGTATAAAAGTTGTGCAATTTGGGTTGCCTAACTACTATATTAAAAATAAAATTTTAAAGTTTAGTACAAAGAAGATATGATCAACATCACAACTATTTTATATTTTGTAATGTAATATATATTATGTATTTTGTTTTTATTAAATATGTTGTGTAAAGCCTGTATAATAGGCTTGTATATAAGTTGCGCAATTTGAGTTGCATAATTACGATATTAAAAATAAAATTTCAAAGTTTAATACAAAGAAAATATGATTAATATCACAACTATTTTATAACATAAAATGAATTATTTTGTAGTGTAATATATATTATGTAAATATGTTGTATAAAACCTGTATAATAGGCTTGTATAGAAGTTGTGCAATTTGAGTTGCATAATTAAAATAATAAAAATAAAATTTTAAAATTAAGTACAAAGAAGATATGATTAATATCACAACTATTTTATAACATAGAATATGTTATTTTGTTGTGTAATATATGTATTTTAATTCTATATATTTAGTATTTAACAAATATGTTATATAAAGCCGGTTAATAGGCTTGTATAAAAGTTGTGCAATTTGGGTTGCCTAACTACTATATTAAAAATAAAATTTTAAAATTTAGTATAAAGAAGATATGATTAACATTACAACTATTTTATATTTTGTAATGTAATACATATTATGTATTTTGTTTTTATTAAATATGTTGTATAAAGCCTGTATAATAGGCTTGTATATAAGTTGCGCAATTTGGGTTGCATAATTACGATATTAAAAATAAAATTTCAAAGTTTAATACAAAGAAAATATAAGTAATATCACAACTATTTTATAACATAAAATGAATTATTTTGTAGTGTAATATATATTATGAAAATATGTTGTATAAAGCCTGTATAATAGGCTTGTATATAAGTTGCGCAATTTGGGTTGCATAATTACGATATTAAAAAAAAAATTTCAAAGTTTAATACAAAGAAGATATGATTAATATCACAACTATTTTATAACATAAAATGTATTATTTTGTAGTGTAATATATATTATGTAAATATGTTGTATAAAACCTGTATAATAGGCTTGTATAAAAGTTGTGCAATTTGGGTTGCATAACTACAATAATAAAAATAAAATTTTAAAGTTAAGTACAAAGAAGATATATAATTTATTTTTTTTTCAATTAATGAGTGTCATCAAAAACGGGGAAGTCCCATTAATACATTTAGCATCGTTAATTTAATGTTCTTAACGTGTTAGGTTTTTCCCATTCAGTTAAAATACAGAGTGTATTAAGATACAAGATTATTATGAAATATTTGTGGTTGTAACATCCTTTAAAAAATTATCTCTATTCTAAGAAAGTCAGATTTTGTTTGTATAAAAGTGGAGGCGAAAAGTTTATTTTAATTCAGTTTTTAAATAATTTTATTCGCGATCGTTTTATTTATATTAATAATGCGATAAAAGTATGGTTTTTATATCATAATTTTTCCCTGTTAACAGGAAATCCTGTAAAATTATGTGTAGTGGTGTTAATCAAGCAAAAAAATAATAAAATGGGAAATAATGTTGGTTTCATTTTCCTGTGTTTGGTAAATATAATTAACATGTTATTTTTAGTAAGATAACCCAAAAAGGATGTTTTAGATTATTAAAATTGTTGCGACATCTGAAGATTGTTTTTTTGGGTTTTGCAACAAAACCGAAAATTACCCCAATGAAAAAATTCGTGAAGCTTTAGCAAATAACACTAAATATTATGGATTTTTCGATTCAAATTATGAAGATTCAAACTTAAAATTTGTTAGAAGAAAAAGAAATATTGATTGCACTTTATACAAAATTGGTTCATACCCAAAATTTGCTAAAAATATTGATGGAAAAGTTGTTGGAATCATCCACACTAAACAATTTAAGCAATATTTCGAATATGGAAGATGTTTGTAAGTAAAATCGTTATTAAATTAATTAACGGTCTCTTTAAAACCGACATTTTTAGGGAACCACATTGCAAAATGATTTTTAAAATCGTAGAATTCGCCTCTTTCGATAACACCACAAAAAAGATTGGATTCGAAAAGTTTTATTTGCCAAAAAAATGTCAAAATAAAAAGTAATTTATTTATTTTGTTGTGGTAAATTAAAAACGGGTTGTAACATGTTTGAATATTAAGTGTGTTGATGCAAAGAAATTCCTAGAATTACAAAAAAAAATTATTGAGTCATCACTATTTCGTTGAGTTTGAATAAATAATTTAATAAATTTAATTTTATTCTTTCTTACAACAAAATTTAAAAAATTCATTTATAAATAGTGTTTGTTGAGGATGACGTTGAGAAGTTTCAAAAGAAACGTTCGTAAAGTTACGTTAGTCACGAATTCTTCCTGTCATTTAAGTCGTACGCGTAAGTACTTACATCTACGCACACATTATTTGGTTTATTTTCTGATGCTATGTCGGGAAAATTTCTGTAAACATAAAAAAGACTGGGTCATTTCATAGGAAGTTGACGCGGTTAGGACAAATCCCTTGATTAAATAACATCGTAATCGACTCAGTATAAATATAAACGCAGACAAAACCATTTAATCACTTAGTTGTTAACGTTCATCTTGCGCATTACGTTATCTTTCTTTTCTTGTTGAAAACAAAAAATAATTATCTTTTAAACATGTTTAAATCGGTTATTTTTATGTTTATTATCAACTTAATTCATTTACTAAGTGTAAGTATTTTTTAATAAATATTTTTATGAATAATAAATGAAATTAAAAATAGATTGTTAATGGTCAAGAAAAGAGTGACTGCAAAACTTATCATCTTTGTGAAACTTCCGAGGGTTACAACGAACAACAACTAAAAGAAATCGTTTCGAACGAGAAATATCAAAAATTTCTGCCACTTTTTGGGAATGTTGTTGATAAACCAAACGTTACCATCACCATTGAAAGTCGATTCGGTGACAAATCCAAGGGGAATATGTGCGCAACCAAACGAATTACAATGTTTCCTAAGAAAGGATTAACTCTTAATTCTCAAGAGAAAAAGATCGTCAACGTTCCAGGTTATCACCAAATGGTAACTTTTGAAGCATGCCAGTAAGTTATATCTTTTTTATTTAAACTTAAAAACATAAATATTATTAATTTGTAGTGATGGTGCCGAATGTTATGTAGGAAAAGATTATGTACCTCTCGGAGTTTCAAGTTTTTGCGAAACTCAATTTATTATAGTGAGATTAGTTGTGGTTAATGACGATAATACTTTGGGATTGGAACAGTTTTCGATACCCTCTGGTTGTTCTTGTATGTACTTGGTTAATTCATAATTTAAAAAATTGTTTTAAAATTTTTGTAAAATTAATGAAATAAAATTTAGAACTTTATACAAAGTCTGACTCAAATCTTTTTACGCTAAGCTTTATAGAAAGCTTAATACGTTTAATTGACCTGGAAAATAAAACATTAAGGTGTTACCTGAATGACGTAGAGAGTTTAACCAGTGACGCATTCGTTGCATTTTTCAACCAAGAAGAAATTCTTTATTTTAAAGATAAATTCTAAGAGTTAAGTGATTTGACTATATATATATATATATAAACCCCAACCTTCCTCAGACCAGTTTTAACTTGTCCTTGTATTGAACTTTAGTTTTAAACATTATGAATAAGTTTACAATGATTTATTATGCCATCCAATTATCAACGGTAAATATATTTTTTTCAGTCAAATTTTAAATTATATTTAATTTCGAATTTATTTTAGAATGTTAACTCGGCTATAATTCCACACACCTCTCTAAACGACGTATGTATTAATAATTTATGTGAAAATTCAACCACGGATTACAGTGATGATAAAATAAGAGAAATTTTATTAAAAAATCAAGAATTTGTACCATTTTTTGGAAATGTACTCGATGTACAAAGATCAAACGAATTAAAGCGACCATCTAGGAGTTTGAACAACATTAACGACCAAAAATACAACATGTGTTCAACTGAAACTATTACCATATTTCCACGAAGAGGATTTACCGTTGATTTTAAGGAAAAATTAATTGTGAATATTCCTGGTTATCGTCAAATGGTTACATATGAAGCTTGCCGGTATATATATCTTTTATATATCTATTTATATTTAATTGTTGTTTTTAAATTTTTTTAGAGAACATGGTAAAGAATGTTATGGTAATGAATATTACCCAATTGGAATGAGTAGTATCTGTGAAACGCAATATATCTTGATTCGTTTAGTTGTTCTAAACGAAGGAGAGCATTTAGATTTAGAACAATTTTCTGTTCCTTCCGGTTGTTCCTGTATGTATAAATTATAAAAATGATGTATATGATACTTGTTAATGATTTAATAATTATTTATTAATGTATATATGCCAACATATCTTAATTCGTTCCTGAGATATGATTTTTGTAAGTTTCTTAAAAATCATAGCAACTAAAGTTGTAATATTGTAATAGCCCATCAAATCTTTATTAAATTTACTTTAAAATGATCCTTATTTCATCGTTATATCTCAATTGGTTCTTGAGATACGATGTTTTTAAATTTCCACAACCATAAAAGCAGAGTTGAGTTTAAAAAATTATAACAACGTGATTTATGGAACATTAATAATTATTTATTGCACATTAAATCTTTATTAAATTTGCTTTAAAATGATCCTTATTTCATCGTTATATCTCAATTCGTTCTTGAGATACGATGTTTTTAAATTTCCACAACCATAAATGCAGAGTTGAGTTTAAAAAAATATAACAACGTGATTTATGGAACATTAATAATTATTTATTGCACATTAAATCTTTATTAAATTTGCTTTAAAATGATCCTTATTTCATCGTTATATCTCAATTCGTTCTTGAGATACGATATTTTAAATTTCTTAAAATCTAAAACTACCAAAAATGCATAGTTGAGTTTAAAAAATCACAACAACTAAAGTTGTGGGAAATTAATAATTATTTATGGCACATCAAATCTTTATTAAATTTGCTTTAAAATGATCCTTATTTCATCGTTATATCTCGATTTGTTCTTGAGATACGATGTTTTTAAATTTCCACAACCATAAAAGCAGAGTTGAGTTTAAAAAATTATAACAACGTGATTTATGGAACATTAATAATTATTTATTACACATTATATCTTCATTAAATTTGCTTTAAAGTGATCCTTATTTCATCGTTCTATCTCAATTCGTTCTTGAGATACGATATTTTAAATTTCTTGAAATCTAAAACTACCAAAAATGCATAGTTGAGTTTAAAAAATCACAACAACTAAAGTTGTTATAAATTAATAATTATTTATGGCCCATCAAATCTTTATTAAATTTACTTTAAAATGATTCTTATTTCATCGTTATATCTCAATTGGTTCTTGAGATACGATGTTTTTAAATTTCCACAACCAAAAATGCAGAGTTGAGTTTAAAAATATATAACAACGTGATTTATGGAACATTAATAATTATTTATTGCACATTAAATCTTTATTAAATTTGCTTTAAAATGATCCTTATTTCATCGTTATATCTCAATTCGTTCTTGAGATACGATATTTGAAATTTCCTAAAAATTAAAACTACCAAAAATGCATAGTTGAGTTTAAAAAATCATAACAACTAAAGTTGTGGGAAATTAATAATTATTTATGGCACATCAAATCTTTATTAAATTTGCTTTAAAGTGATCTTTATTTCATCGTTATATCTCAATTGGTTCTTGAAATACGATGTTTTTAAGTTTCTTAAGTAAAGAAAAGAGGTGATTATGATATTTCTTTATTATTCCCTTAACTAGTACAAGATTTAACAATATTTTTACTTCGAACGAATATATTTAGCAATGGTTTAAGACATCCCCAAATAGTACAAACGATTGTAATCCATATACATAAATCGGCTTGCATACTAGAAACTTTTCTGGTAAACCAACCAATTTTATAACCAGTTATAGTTGCCCCTAAACCAACAGCAACGGCTCCCAATCCTACCAAAGCATGAAACACTTTCAGAATATTAGGGGATACGAAACGCCGCAATTGCGTTGTAAACAATGTAGGCATTCCATTGATACAAGCGATCCCCGTTAAAATCAATGAAGCAAATCCTGTTTTACCATGCTCGCTTGTAAAATGTTTTCTTCCCTGCTTACTGTACACTATCGTTGCAAATCCTCCGATTGTTAACCCACAGGCTACAATAAATATTAACCAATGAACATGTTGTCTCCACTTTGCCACTAAATGTTTTCCGAAAATATTTTCTTTAGCTATAATCATCATTCCTTCCGTACTTATAAATGCCCACTACAAAGGTATATTAATATAATTATGGTTAATATATTAATAACTTTTACTCACCCCGAGAATATAAAGAAAAACGTGCCATGTTGTTAAATTAAATGATTCTTGTTGAGCACAAAGGTAAATCACAAAAATTGTAACAGATAATAAAAGTACATGAGAAACTGTTGTTATGTGTTCTAATAAATCCACGAAGAAACTATCACCTTTCTTAATATTTTGAACTTTAGAATTCATTTTTAGACTAATATTTGAGGAGTTTTTGAAAATCTGAAATTCATGGTGGTGTGAATTTATTTATAAAGAAACGTATCAAAGTATCGATAAAAATCTTGCTAACCAATCATCAATCAATGTTTCGTTTAACGATTTTTTACTTTTATTACTTACATTTATTCACGTATACTAGATAATCTTAGAACATAACGATAGGTTAATGTAAACATTGGTCTTGATTATGTTTACCAATTCCGTTTTTAAATCGTCATTATTAATAGTATTATCTTGATTGTTGTCTAATACGTGCAGGAGATAATTCGAATCAAGTGTATTTATATTTTTAATTTAATTCTTTATCATTACAAGATTTTTTGATGGAATAATAATTTTTCTTAAATAAAACAATTTATTTTGATGACTAAAACATAGTTGAATTTAAAAAATTATAACAATTTGGTTTATTGAACAATAATAATTATTTATGGCACATTAAATCTGTACTAAATTTGCTTTAAAATGATCTTAGTTTCATCGCTATATCTCAATTCGTTCTTGAGATACGATTTTTTTAAATTTCTTAAAATTTAAGGCAACCAAAAATGCAGAGTTGAGTTTAAAAAATTATAATAACGCGGTATATGGAACATTAATAATTATTGATTGCACATTAAATCTGTACTAAATTTGCTTTAAAATGATCTTGGTTTCATCGCTATATCTCAATTCGTTCTCGAGATACGATTTTTTTAAATGTCTTAAAATTTGAGGCAACCAAAAAAGCAGCGTTGAGTTTAAAAAATCATAACAACTAAAGTTGTGGGAAATTAATAATTATTTATGGCACATCAAATCTTTATTAAATTTACTTTAAAATGATGCTTATTTCATCGTTATATCTCAATTCGTTCTTGAGATACGATGTTTTTAAATTTCCACAACCATAAATGCAGAGTTGAGTTTAAAAAAATATAACAACGTGATTTATGGAACATTAATAATTATTTATTGCACATTAAATCTTTATTAAATTTGCTTTAAAATGATCCTTATTTCATCGTTATATCTCAATTCGTTCTTGAGATACGATGTTTTTAAATTTCCACAACCATAAATGCAGAGTTGAGTTTAAAAAAATATAACAACGTGATTTATGGAACATTAATAATTATTTATTGCACATTAAATCTTTATTAAATTTGCTTTAAAATGATCCTTATTTCATCGTTATATCTCAATTCGTTTTTGAGATACGTTATTTTAAATTTCTTAAAATCTAAAACTACCAAAAATGCATAGTTGAGTTTAAAAAATCATAACAACTAAAGTTGTGGTAAATTAATAATTATTTATGGCACATCAAATCTTTATTAAATTTGCTTTAAAATTATCCTTATTTCATCGTTATATCTCGATTTGTTCTTGAGATACGATGTTTTTAAATTTCCACAAACATCAATGCAGAGTTGAGTTTAAAAAATTATAACAATTAAAGTTGTGGGAAATTAATAATTATTTATGGCACATCAAATCTTTATTAAATTTGCTATAAAATGATCCTTATTTCATCATTATATCTCAATTCGTTCATGAGATATGATTTTTTAAAATTCCTAATTTTACAATTTTACAATATTAGTTGTTGGAATAATATTTTATTTTAAACAATATAATTTATTTTTGAAATCACGTTAAGAACTTGTACGTGCTTTGAACTTTTGGATCACAAAGAGTTTTTGAAAAGTTATTAGGTTGTTTTCAAAATATATATAATTTTAGGAAAGACATTAAATAAAGCACATAAATTATTTTAATATTTTTTGTTATAAATACAAATCTTAATTTGACCTAACCAATTTGACAATTTTAATAACAGTATTTAAAATCGGTTTTTTAATAACAGTTAAGCAAACCCCAGACACAGTAACGGTACAAATTTTCATCATGTTTGCATTTGATCTTTCTCTAAACCAAGCTGTATGAAAACCTGTGGCGGCCGCAACTAATCCACTTAAAACGGCTACTAAACCCAGAACTACATGGCAAATTTTTATGATCGGATTCAAAGCTCCCTCTTTATTGCAAAAAAATGACGGGACTCCCAAAACGAAAACAATGTAAGCCGAAAAAGTGGCAACAGCTCCTGGTAGAGCATGTTCCGTATCGAAATGATTTTTTCCCTCGGCTTTTGTATGTTCATAAATAACCACAAATCCGGCTATTATAAAAGCTGTCGCAATTACCATTATAGCCCAATGGACTATATTGCGCCATTTTTGAGTCAGTCTGCTAGAGAATATGTTTTCGCTCCTTGAAAATAAAATTCCTTCGGTTACTAAAAAAATCCACTAAAAAAAGATTCATTTTAAAATAATAAATAATTAATTCATAATTAACTTACCCCAATTGTATATAAGAAAACGTGCCATGCAATTAAACTTAATGGACCGGGAAAACATAAATAAATAACGTAAGCAGATACACCTATAGCTAAAACATGTTGAAGAGTTGTTAAATGCGTAGAAATATCGTGGATAATTTCTAAAAATGTTTCTTTAGGTTTATCCTCTTTTTGTTCTTCAGGACTTTCGCCAAACGATAAACCGAACGAAGGCATCTTGGGGTATGATCAAAAATAATTTTTAAGCAAATATTTTGTTTTAGGTTACTGATAAACCCAAATTCTTTTAATCCGTTGAAATCTACGCAATTTACAACACTGATAACGTTGGTTTCTTCTTAATCCATGTTAATGCCAAGTTAATAAAAGGTCACAATGTTAAATATATTTGTTATAAATCAAACTCCTCAAGTGTTAACAAAACAACTAAAGATTTTAGCTGACAAGAATAAAATAGTATTGGAATAGAAGAAAATTAGGGAATAAAAAATTTTGATTTAGGATTTTTTAAAGAAAGAAAAGATCAAATAGCTTTAAGGGAAGATTACGATAGATAACAACATTTTAATTAAATT